ATTAGATACATGTACATATTTAATAGCCTGTGTGATTAGATACTGAATTAAAAACCCTAAAAGGCTATTCTGAGATTGTAATTTATTAATATCTTATACTGGATACTGTCAGCTCCTGAAATATCAGTTGTAGCATTTTAATAAGTACACATCTAATAAATGGCTTACCGTACTGTTTTTAAAAAAGAATTTTTAATCACATTGCAATTAGCTACATGAAAAAGTAATGAATACATTTCTACTCATACTTAAATTATCTGTCTTAAATTTTCTAAAGTGTTGGTTAATAAAACTTAACATTTTCGTTACTCATATTCCATACCTAATCCATCAATTATAAAATAAAGATATGTTTTGAAAGTACAAAAATATTGTCCAATACAAATAGCTTTCTGACACTGAAAATATTTATAAGAGTAATATATTTTCTAAAAGTAAATATATATAATTTCAGTTCAAAAATTTTAGATAAGCTATAACACACCAATCACATTCATGTTTCTCATAAAATAACAGCTTAAAAGATTATCCAAATAGCAAATTTAAAAAAAAAATTTAAAAACCTTGGCACCATGAGCAAAAAATAAGCTCCAACTCATGCTCCTCTTTCCTATTTATTCATTCATAAGAAATGCAACAAATGTGTAAAAAGTTAAGTTCAAAACCTTCTGTTCGTTGTTTATATAAAGAATTTTATATAGCAATAATTTAGGATGACTTTAAAAAAATTGAAAAATATTCAATAAATGTATGCAGTCATGCATATACACATACACACACACATTTCATCTAAATTGCACTGGTTATACAGGTTCAGAGTAAAATAATGAAAATTAAAGCTTGAAACAACTACAGGAAGTAAGTCCATTCATTTAAGTACATGTTAGTGAGGTTCCTTCTGAAGTTAAATATTAAATACAATACAGTACTCCAAACTCAATTAATTTTATCTGAATTCATAACTTAATTATACCATAACACAGTAGAAATTTGAAATACGGCCAACAATCGATTAACATACCAAAGATGTTGATAAAATTTGGTATTCAATAATTTATAATTAAATTTCTATAATAAAATATTTTTCTTCCAATAAATAACTCAAATATTAGAATACGGGTGAAATTTATGAATGAATACACATATTCAGCTGACAACATAATTTACCAATTTTAATCCCTGTAAAATCACAATATTTTCACAATTAAAGTGTATATGATGACACTTCATAGCAAAGCAAAATACATAGACTAGATTACAACTTGTATGCTTCAAATTCCTGAACAATGAAGATGGGCACATTTGAAATTAATGCAAATTCGATAGCAAGCTGACTAGAATTTCCATTAATATGTATATAAAATAAATATTTACAACATTTAATATAGAAAATTCGATATAAATCCATAATGGAATGAAACACGAAATATCATAATATAATCACATAGATAACAGACAACATCTAACTGGCATGCAGCTATCGCTATGAAAGACATATAGAATCAAATTAGACATTTACACTTAATACAGCATATATTTCCAAGATTGACTTCCAGTTGAACATGACAACTGACAAAAAAGAAAGAAAAAGGGGAGGGAAAGGTGTGCAAAACAAAGGTACATGCCTTGTATTAGAAATGTTCACAAATTTCTAACAAGGTTCCCTTCCCCAAGGCAATGATGTGTAATAAAGAGGTAATCATAAAGAAAAAAGTTTCCAGAAAAAAGTAAATCTAATGCTTAGATTACACTGCTATTGAGATAAGTAATTATACTTATTTGAAATATTTCAATTATCTGTCTAATCACTAATGTATATTTAAATATTTTTCTATATAATATTTTAAATTAGAAAGGACATAAGCTTCTTTATGAAATTAAAAATTCAGCAAAAACAAATAATTTTTTCTGCTGATAAAAGCACGGTTATAATTGAAGCAACATAACAACACGTAAGAGGGATATATTTCAGCTGCAACAGTGGTATTAAACATTCATTACTACAGTATTAAATTAACTACTGAATCATACATGGTTAAACTTTAATCAAAATAAATTATATGGATCAACTAGTGAAACTGAAAAATTTATGAATGCATATTAATAAATATTACCAACCAAATTTACTTTAATAAAAAAATGCTGAAGTTCAGGAGAAGATTCAGAATAAAATTTCTTTGTCAAATGATTTCTCAGTTAACAATATGAAATAACATTAATTCATAAAATAATGAGAAAATTCTGCATTTAATTACAATCAAATCCCACTTATATTGAATTCTTTAGCACTGAAGCATTATAAGGAATTTATATTAATTAACCAGTTACTTTATGTTACGAATCTGTCCTCTCACCTCCCTTTCCGTTTTCCTGCTAGAAAGCAAACTAGCTCGTGTGTATTTAAGTGATGCTTTCAGATTATTTTAGTCAGAGCATGTTCTGCCTGCTGAAAGCCACATTACTAGTTGTTTCTCGAAGATAACCATTCCTGGCTATGGCGTTGCTTTATTATTGCCGATAGTGCTGTCACGCCAGTGCAGGTTAAGAGCCAACTTGCACTTTTAAATATCTCTGCATAGGCTTTGGCTGATAGCTTCTTAAGATTGAAATCAATTTAAAATTCTAGTTTTGAGTTCATATCATAAATGCTAGCTGATTTGTAAGTGCCAGGTGTAGCTTCTGTTAAACTTACTTAGTTTTAACCGCTTGCCTGATTATCCCGAGTTAACTCGGGCTCGTATATATTGCAGGTTATTATTATCCTGTGAAAACTCGGGTGAAGCAGAATTTGTTATATCACGGTTTTACTTGGCCTGGAGGAAATGAAAGGAAATATTCAGCTTTGACTGGCAGTTTGCCAAATTTTGTTGGTTGTGCAGTTCTTTTGGAGGGACTAGTCACGCGTTTCCCTATTGTATAGTATATGTTGGCTTGTGGATTAGTCATGTATAAAGAAGGATACATGCGTTGAAAAAATACCAAATAATGGCGATGATGCAAGATAGCGAAAGGAATGATTTTTCAGATAGTAATTATGAAGAGGTGGAATAAAAATTAAAAAAAAAAAATAAAATCCAACGAGACAGTGTCCTCTGTCTCCCGTGAAAGAGATTCCAGCGGTAAGCCAGTAAGAAAAGAGACCAGATACCAGTGTAGAATGTCAGGTATCACTTTGCGTTATCCCTTGTTTCAAAAACGATCATACAAAGACTAATATTTAACTTTTTTTCGTTTGCCCGAGATAACACGGGATAGAAACTAATATTAAAACTAAATGCTTTTATCCTTCAAAAAATTAAAAATTAAACTTAAAACCTACATATTTTCATTTGTTTCGTTTTGTCTATTTAATAATAAAATAAAAAATGTGATGATTTTTTGCAATTTTTTTCAAAAAAATTTGTAAGGGAAGCAGTTAAATAAGATGGTCTAAATCCTCTGTACATTCTGTTTGCTTATTTAGACATAGTGATAAGTTGCTGAAGTAGGGAGCTTGTATGTTACCGAGCCAAGTGAGACTCTAGAATACACGTATCGAATTTTAAAATATGTGCATCAAAAACAATAACAGAAAAATGTAAACACAAAAGCTTTTAAATTAAATTACAGTTACAAGCTATAATCTATATATAAAACAAATTTATAGAAAATACTCTTTGAAAACTGGAAAATCACACTGCATTTCCATTCCTAAGCAGATAGAAGATGTAAAAGATGTGACAGGAAGCAAATGTAATTAAAGACTTCCTCAAAAATGAAATATGTAATTCTGAACAAATGCTTCTAATATTTTTGATCACATGAACAAAGATTAATATGAAGCTGAAAGAACATGAATGTAGAAAGCAAAGAACTCTCTTTCATGTTCTTTCATTAAAACAACAGAAGTCAATTGTTATTATATGACTTTTGTAATTCATATTATATTAAAAAATAGCAGCAACATAAAGACATTAATTTTCCCCCTCCTGCAAAGTTAAAAATTATACGTACAGTGAAATGGGGAGATAAAAAATTTCCTCTAAAAATTAATTAAAAAAAAGCACCAAAAAGAAATAAGAACATAAAATATACTTTGACTTGCTTCTGCTGTTTTTAATATGAAAACGTTTCACAGATCTTAATTCATGAAACGTTTTATTTCTGGTACCCATATTACAGAACTTTGTATTTCAGTATGAAACAGTTATATAAATCCAGCTGGTTAAACAAGTTATACAGATTGGAACAATATAGTTGGAAATGTTGTATTGAAGGGGGGATAATAATAACTTTATATTTACCATTAATTTTTAAATAACATTTCATTCATCTCAAAGAAAGAATTTTTATTTTTATATTTCAGGAAAAAAATAAATAAATAAATAAAACTTTTGGACATGTACAAAATTGCTAGCACTTATCAAATGAATAAACTCATATAATCTTTTTTTAAACTTGCATTGCCTAAATAGCTTTTTCTAAACTATTTATGTAATCACACACATCAATAAGAAAAAAAATAAGACTTTTCCTTCATGTTTAATTGATGAGCCTTGAAATTCAATATAAGCAGGTTTGACAGTATTCATACAAATATATATTAATGAAATTCAAGATAATTCCCAAATTAAAAAAAAAAAAAAAATTCGAAATGTTTTAAAAAATGCATTTGCATATGGATAATTTTGAGATTATAAAGTCTCACTTTAACTTCAAAATTTGAATTCATAGGCAGAAGATTATTTAATAATTGATTCTGACTGATAGATTCATTATTTTGAACATAATTGTTCATAATTTTAAAATATGAGAGTATGTATGTATATACATATACACACCACAGTATGCTTATACTTACACACACAAGATTATTTCTTAAAGTATTCCTTTTTATGGCACTATTTAAATTTTTTTTGCCATATTTTTTAATAGTTAATAAGTTATTAATTTTTGTCAAAAATATTTATACATATAAAAAAAGTTATAAATCACAAAAATAAAATTGCTTCCTTGTATTTTAAACTAAACCAGTTAAAAATAGTTATAAATTATAAATTTATTTTAATTATTTCAAAACTGAGAGTTCAAAAAACTTAAGTTTTTATAAAATTGATATTACTTTTCAAAACATAAAGTTCTAAAAAAAGTGTGTTCAAATTTCAGTCCTTTAAAATTAAATACTCTTCATATGTTTTTAAAGATATAAATATATATATCACAGGCACAATTGTAGAAAGGCACCACTGCCATTTTCTTGCATTAAAATTGTTCGTAAAACTACGCTGTTTTCAAACAGCTACAGATATTCTGACAAAATTTTAATTTTGATATTATTACAATTAAAGCATCCAATACAGTATTCTTTCTACAGTTTAAATTAAAATAAGAGCTTTATTATCATAAACAAATTGTTTGCTATAAAATGAAGTCACTCAAAAAAATTTTAAGCATTTAAGAACACTAAACACTACTGATTTTGAATTCTTTCCCCTTACCCACTCATTCTTAAGTTCATTTGCAAACAGCGGCATTTCATTATTAAAAAACTATTGAACCATATAAACAATAGCATCATATTTTCTGGAAACTTTTCGGATCTACCTCTGTTTAAGCTCATTTGATATTTAAAAACTAACTTTGCCTCTTGACTTAAAAAACCCCAATTCATTAGCATTATGAAGAGCCGCAACAATTCCAGCATAACTTTCAATAATAATAGGCTGGTATAAAATTTTACATGAATTTTCCACTGGAGAAGCCACAAGGGATTCCTGATCATTTCCTGATGAAATTGTACTTACAAGCTTCTTGGCAAAATCTTCAATATTATAATTTTTTTTTTCAGCTGTATCTGTTTTATAAAGTGGGTGTGATGTATAAGTAACCCATGGAATATCTCTGCTCCATGGGTTCCAACGCTTCAGCACAGGAAGTTGTTGACTTGCATTCCAAGAACACTGTACACCAAGCTGATTTCGAGCGCTAAAGAGAAAATGATGATTACTGCAATGAGCAATCTTTATATTTTGAAATTACAAATTCTTAATTGATGATAATAATTATCCTGTCATAAATATCATATATGCAATAACAAGCATTTGTTCCGTAACTTTTCCAATTTTTTCAAAAGTCAGTATTTAAAGAAACTTCGTTTGCTTCATAGGAATTTTTCATGAACACATACAAAAACAATTAAAAAAAAATATCTAGGGTGATTTAAAACTAATCAGCATTTTGAGAAACACTTATATATATGCTGCTGTTTCCTTTGGTCACTTTTTTAGGTGAAAAAAAAAAAAAGAAAGTTATATTACAAGGGATTATTATTTGATTGAATTTATATTGAAGCCTTTTATACTTCCTTAATTAAAAACAAAAATTTTAACACTAAATATAAAACTATACTTATATCATACAAATGCAATATATAATTATAATATTTTTGTAAACATAAAAGTAAAAATTCATTAGAATTATATATATATATATACATTTAATTCACACTACAGAAAAACTGGATTAGGATTTTAAGAATTCCCTAATTCCCTTACAAAGTACTGCAAAAATTTGAATGTTACATATGAACAGTCAAAGGGGAAATATTCCCATACAACTAAATTTAAAACTTTTGAAAACTTTATATTCCTAGGAAAAGCATCAAATGGTCTGGACCGAATTGTGGTACCATCCTTTTATAACCCTTTTCAGTCGGGGGGGGGGGGGAAGAAGTCTGATGGAACAACATCTAGGCTGTACCTGTACTTAAAAGACTCAGAAAACAAGTTGCCCGTGTCCATCCAGCAATCGCTGGATCATGCAGGCTTTGTTACGTTCATGTGCCGAGCCACATCGTCTTTGCTGTCATGGACTTCCTGACCAAGCATGGCATTACACAGCTTCCACAGTCATTCGACATCCCAAATGTCACTCCTTCAGACTTCTTCCTCTTCCCTCCCCTCCCCGACTAAAAAGTATCATAAAAGGACAGCATCAAAGCTCTGTCCAGGTCATTCAAGAGGCTGTAATGAGGGAGCTGAAGAGCATTCCAGTTTCTGTGTTCCAGGGAGCATTCAGTGATGGCCAGTATCACTGGAAACGCTGTGCTGCTACAGAAGGGGCATATTTTGAAAACTATTAAGTTGATGCATCAAAATTGTGAAAAACAAATTTTTTTTTTTTTTTTTTTTTTCTTTTTTAAAATTCAGTCGTACTACTTGTCGAATAAACCCCTTATTATTAAAAATATAAAAATTTATACACATTGCACACTGAAATTTTGGATATTCTCCTTATTTTACAATGAGGAATTCATTTACAAATTTAAACAATTCAGAATTTCTTTACTGTCATATTATGAAACAAAGATTAGATGTTTCAACTATAAAAAACTGCATAAAGAAATTTGAGCTTTTGGATCCAAGAGTAAAAATGAATGAATTTATAACGCAAAATTTTCAACATAAAAAGATGCCAAAAAGAATTAATAGTGAATGCAATCATATTACGATTCTTTTTTCTTTTTTTTTTTTTTTTAAAGAAAGTAAAACGGAGAAATTACTATTGACTACAGAATGCTTCCTACCTATTCCCATATAGGGATATTTCAGTTAGTTACTTATGAAATAATTATTTCTCAAGAAGTAAAGCATGTAAATTCAATTCTTTGCTTTCATTAATTCTATTTTTCTCAAGACATTCTTAACAAACTATAAAAACATAAGGGTAATTATCAAATGCCTAACTCAAAATTCAAAGCAAAAGACATTTTCTGGTACTTGAATAAATGCCCACACATAATTTAATTAACTCTGTGACTACAAATAAACTCAAAACTGCAAAACTATAAAAACATACAATTTCACACTTGAAATCTTGAATCATACTGGTAATCTTTAAAATTTGATGGAAGTAGGGAAATTGAAAGAAATACACTCGTGTGTAAAATAAAAGAATTTGCACATTACATCATTTTTGAAAAAGTAATGGACAGATTTTTATGTAATTTGGTATGAATATATATTTGTAACACAGAAAGAAATGCACCATTCAAAAGTCATTTTATGTAGGCATAATTATCAGTAAGGTTCATAATACAGGGATGTCCATAATCCCCCATCACGATTTCGAACTGAAAAATAGTCTAATGGAGTATGGCCCCCTTTCATAGCCAGACAGGTCACAGCAGCACAACAACAGTGGGCAGGAGGCAGTTGAGTAGTCCCTGCGGTAGTCAATCCCACTCTTGCATCAAGACAGTTTTCAACTTCAGGATGATTCTCAAAGGAAAATTGGTTAACTGAAATTGCCCTCCGAAGACTGCCGAAGATGTGTTCTATAGTGTTTAAGGTATGGAGATATGGATGGCCATGCAGCAAATATCGTCATCACTTTCCAGATAATCATCAAACACCTGAGCTCTACACGAATGAGAATTATTATGACAAATCCAAGACCAATTGTGTCTCTGGGAAAGTCCAACATAGAGCTCCAAAATTTCATCTCTGTATTTCATAGCAGTCAGGAAACCTCTGTCAAACACATGCAGGCGTGCACGGTCACCCAATATAATGCTTTCCCAAACCATTACACTTCCACTATCATAATGATCTTTTTTCCTGATGAGGAAGCATTGGTATTCTGTTCCAGGCTTTCTCCAGATACAGGTACACTGAGAATCAGTGTCCAAGATCAGTCTCAATTCATCTGTAAAAAGCACAGTGCTTCACTGAAATCTGGTCCAAGGCACATGTTGTCTGCTCCATGCTAAACATACTCTTCTGTGTATTGCAATGAGCCGGACACAAACAGTTGGTCTCCTGGCATAAAACAAAATGTCATAAAGCCTTTGGGCAATCGTATACTGTGAAACTCGGGTTCGAACGGCAACATTCAGATCACATGAGAACTGTGAAGCTGTAGCAGTTCTGTATCATCATGCTGGAAGTACCAAATAAAAATTCTCATTCACCGTTGTGGATCAGGGTCAACCCTGTCCAGGTCTTCTCGATATATATCCAGTGTCCTGAAATTGTTTCAACAAATTACTGACAACACTGGGCATTACATTGTAGTCACCAGAGCTTGCGACTGGCCTACCTCCAATCTACCACAATTCTTCATCTCATTCTGTCATCCATACTGTTCAATTTACCTGACAACTTATAAAAATTCAGCCAACTCTTGCGAGAAATAAGGTGCATGTTACGGAGTACAAGTACACAAATCGCCGAAAATGCCTCGTGAGCTTATATCCCTTCCACAATCACAGCTCTGCAGATGCACATATGTATGCTAACATACTCAACTCTAAATATTTGCATAAGTATTCAGTGCCATGATTAGTACCTTTGGTTCAATATTTTTCATAAAAACAGACATAATTTGCGAATTTCCTTAATGCACACAGGTGTATATAAAGCAAAATTTAACTCATCCTGTTACATGTCACACATTATCTAAATATACACTATCAAAAACACATGTTTGCATAATTACATAGAATTAATATAAAAATTATTGACCAACTTCAAAAGTATATAAAAGGTTTGAAATACATAAACTTCCAAATAAGAACAAAAACTTCCTGAAGTTATCCTGAGTCCATAAAAAAATTCCCACCACTTTGAATGTAAGAAATTATAATAAGAAAAAATTGCACTAATGTAAAGAAGAAACACTGGGTTGATCACAACCATGCCAAGGGAAATTAAGAATCAGAAATCGTCAGGTAAAAACTGAATAGCAGCATAAAATTCAGCAACAAAAGTGCAATAAATTAAATATTAACAAAAATAAGAATAAAAAAATTATTTACATAGTAGAATTTTAAAATTCAAACACTTTAAGATTGGCTGCAGTATGATGACCATCAATAATTTAACATCACTTTGATCTCATTTTTATATGTAAAAGGAGAAGTCACAGTCAACTAAAGGTTATTATCATACAAGCAACTGAACGCCAAAATAGGATTACATTCAAAACATTGCACAGAATCAGAATTAATTTAAAGAACAAAATTCCTACTTAAAAACTGCACTATTCCAAACCTTCTACATGCTCTTCAAGTGCGATGAAATTTCATAATACTGTCATTTTACTCATTCTCATGCCTAATACAGTCACTGATTTTAAATTAACACAAAATGGATTCCTTAATTTCTTACAATTTTTTTTGTCCCATTGTCTACTGTCAACTGCATTCAGCAAATTTCATTTTGGTATTTTAATAAGCATATCTGGAAATACATCCATCTTTAAATCAATCTGCAAATGGTGCTACTTATTACAGTACAAAGTCTGAAATCCAGACACGTCGGTACTTTGGCGATTTGGGATTTTTCCGGACATTAGATCATCAGTTTAAATCTAGTAAGATGGTATGTATCATTTTCAGTAATTTCTCTGTGACTTTCTTCAATCTTGGTAGCGGTATTTTCTGGATATAGAACCATACTACAGAGTTTGCCATTCATTAATTGACTGATGATTGAGAAGCATTGTCATCACAATGAAAAACTTCTTTTATATCATTTTCATTTATTACCGCTTCTCCACATTTCCTTACAAAATCGTGAATTGGAAAATTTCACCTTTGTTTTGCGATATCAGAAAACCTTTAAAATTAGCGGCTATCATCATCAAATTTAGCTATTCTTCACTATTCATATTTGGCTATGCATCATGAGTCTTGGCGAGTAACAACAAGTTGTTCCGTTAAATTTTATCTTGCTTCTATCGTGCACTGAGACAATTAAGCCTGATTTGTATTAGTTATTTATTATATTTGTCTATTTCTTGCATTTGTCTATTTCTTGATTAAGGCTTACCAAAGTTCTGAATAAAAAAATTCCCACCACATACTTAAGCCTTATTGAGCGCCAGCGCTAGATAACTTATGGCCTGATGCAGTCTCTGTGGGTCCTAAATTCTGCGACTCGATGCGGCCATACGAGCCCTGGCGCTGGTTCTGGGTTTATGTAAATAACAAATCAATTATTCTTAATTCAAATAACCCTAAATGTAGTCTTTGGGTCTATGAGTATCATCAACAAAATCTATTTTTAGCATATTGGAAAGAAATTTTTGACAAATTTTTCCTCGTCATCATTTTTTAGCGCATTTAACTGAAATCCGTAATCATCGCCAAGCATAATACCAACATAAAAGGTTACCACATTTCTTTATTATTCAATTACTAACATAAAAAAATTTTTTAGGCATCGCTACATGAGTCGTTACTCAATCTGTCATGTTTTGATAAACATGCGATGATGAAAGGAAAGTATAATAAATAATAATTCGCCAGGTTGGCATCAGATCAACGATGCAACTATGTGGAATGTTTCAGTTTGAGATGTATGCCAAGCAGATACGCAGCAATGGAGCCAAATTACTGATCATATAAATTTATGCTAAAATGATTTGTTTCTAAAATTACAAGGTATTTTATTTAGTGTTGAAGTAAAATTAAGAATCAGAACTCTCCAGATGTTTTATTATGCATGTAGGAGGGAATCAAATGCGCATGTGTAAAGTTTACAAGAAAACATTGTTGGTGGTTTTGAGGTCTGGATTTTAGATCATTCTGGATGTCCAGATTTCAGACTTTGTACTGTATAAACTAGTATTTTTCAGTAATGCATAATTATGCTAAATGTTTTAATTTTTGTCTAATTATACTGTCAATATTTTAAAAAAATTATAAAATGAACATATAGTCAGTACAATAAAAACATTCATCATACATAACACATTAAACGAGAAGATAGTGCAATACAAACAAGAATAAGAAAGATACAGTACAAACAGAAACATACACAGCTGATCTTGGCCTGTTAGCCACAACTGTAAGCTTCACAGAACTTGAGTTAACAGGTTGACGAAAATTTCGTCCCTGTCTTATTTTTGGTAAAACTCTTTGTTTAAAAAAATCCATGGCTCCATTTATCTTCCTGAGAGCAAGGATAGCAATAAAAGCAAACAAACAATTACACACACAAGCTTAAAAAAAAAAGGCCTTTTTAAAAACAGCTAAAGATTAAGAATTTGGAATATTCAAAAGCAATTTTCAGGATACAAAATATAAACATGAGAATGAAAACACTTAAAAGGATTGTATCTATGTACTTATGCTATCTAAAACAAAGTGAAAAAATTCAACTTAACCGCTGAATTTTTAAAAGAAATCACAAGTCATATTACAGGGGAAAAATATATTCGTTATATATATATAAACTGATGCGGATATCACATAACTTTCTTGTATGCCTATTAAAGTATACATATTTTTTGCTGCACTTCATTTAAACTTATTTTCTCAAATTATTTTTACTTAATTAACCGATTCCTCGAGGCACGTTGAAGATGACGTTAGAAACTGCAAATTTTGATATTAAATATCCTGACCAATTTTTGTCATATGGGAGACAAACATTTTGTGTTTTTAATCTTTTTATAATCAATATAAAACTTTCATTTATATATTCAACCCAAATATAAGTACAGGAACCACGACATTTAAAAAGTAGGATTTTGTTTAGATATTTGCATTCTTTCCTCCTCTTGTAATTTTTGCAAATACTTCTTAGTTTGAAGAATGTAAATTGAAATGTTCTACAAATGCCAGCTATGAAAAATATTACAGCTTAGTAACAAAACTGCTTTCATATCCATTAGATTTCTCACTTATTTTATAGACAAGGTACTCCCATAAAATACTAACCAGACCTGCATAAGAATAAAATGGCAGTTTTACAGATATAATAAATAGTCCGGCTAATTATACTTAATGTGGTACATAGAAATACATCAGCTGCTTTTCACAAAGCAAAAAGGCTAAAAATATAAAATTTCAATTAAATTATAATTCAAGCAAATAACAATTAAGTACAAATAATGGTAGGAGAGTTAGTTAAATTGTTTAAATTTAGTTATAATTATAAATGCACTACTGATTACAGAGAAAGGAATAAGAATTTCATTGGTTATGTGAATGTTCATAATCATTAGAGGTGTGGTTATTGGTATTTTACCTACATTGCATTCAAATATTCTGAAACTGACACAAAATTCTACAAAAGGTTGATTACTACTATATTTCTCCAGTTCTGAGGATTCGAGAGAGAGATCAAAATGGCCATTATTATTTTTAATGGCATAGCTAGGTAGGTAGATTACTACTGTATTTCTCCAGCTATTAATGGCAATTATTACTTTTAATGGCGAATCTAGTAAATGCTTTTCCTTTTGATGTAATGTTTTGTCAGTAACACTAACAGAACAACAACTGGCCCAATTTTGACATATCTAATGACTGCAACATCAAACCAGTACTGCTATACACGTGAGTCATTACTGGTTACACCAAAAAACAAACACCATGACTTTTTTGTATGGCCTAATAAATTATACATATTTTTTGCTGCATTTCATTTAAACTTATTTCCTCGACTTTCATTACAGCTATATTTCTCATTCAATCAATTCAGTTCTCATTTGACGGCAAGGCAAAAATACATAAAAACTCAAAACATCTTCATAAAAAATTGTAAAATATATAAATTACAGTTTCTACGCAAAAAAAAGCAATTCAGCTAGTGGGCAGGAATATAGATATTTTAAAGCATAAAATCGAAAGTTTACATTTGGTCCCTTTTAACAAAAAGACACTGAAGCTGGTGTACAAACTGACTTAATTCACTATTCTACCTTGAGTTTCATATGTAAATAAAACTCTGGCCATGTTAGTCTTAGTACCACTTAAACAACTATTAAACTCATGATAATTCTTCAACTATTGCATGCAAATTAACTAAAGGCATAAAAACCTTAACCGGAATATAAGAAAAAGCATAATTCAATCACTTCTAAAGCAGAAAATGCACAATTTACCAACATATAAGAATAAAAAATTATTGAGCTCACCGAGCCAGGTAATAAAGTGGGTATATATATACACACACACACGTTTCGTGTGGCTGATAGCAACCAAAAAGTGAGGTGCACAACTTCATGTTATAGCAGTCCATTATACAAAATTTCAACGTTCTGAGGCTAATCATTTTTGAGTTATGTGAAATACATATGATCATTTTACAATCCGTTTTGGGAAAAAGAGCCTTTTATTCTGTTCGTACATACAGATGTCATGCAAAAACATCATTCAAATGGATATTTTTGTTGAAATATGATACCAAAAATTTTTTACAATTACAATACTCCTTTACTTCATACAAGCAAGTAAAAATTGTAGTATATGCATCCGACATGGGCATCTGTAACCTCATCTTCAGTACAAATCACAGTGTGTGTTTATTAACACTCTCTGAAATCCCTGCACTGGAACTTGATGCCATTTGTACCATCATTTCCTTTCGTTTACTCCACATCAGCCTGAGCAGTTCACATCTACTCCAATCATTAAGTGTGATTACTAGTATATCACTCACTGTTTACACCTTGTCCTTTAGTGGTGTATCAACAACAGATTCTTCATATAACTCATCTACGTAACTTGGTCTTAAAATTGTCATATGACCAAAGCTTAGGTCATCACATTTACGAATTTTTACCAACTACATTCTATACCTACAAAACCCTTATTTCCCTATATGCATGGCTTACATTTTGTTTGAACATGGTCTATTCTGTTTGGAGACTGCCAGTATACCTCAATTTTAAGGGTTTTGGTCATATACGTAATATGTGAAACAGAAAATTAGAGAAATTACAGAAATATAAATTTAACCAATGCCACTATATGGAAATACCAAAATGACAAAGACACTCATAATTTTAGTCTTCTCTTTCTTTTAGCTTTCACAACAAATTTTCATTCTTCTTCTAATATATTTCTATCTTTGGGAAATGAAAAGAAAATCTGCATTTTGAAATTAAAAAATTTTTGGAATTTTACAAATGGCATGCAGGAAACTTTCTAATTTACATACCATGAGATTTCCAGCTGATTTATTTCAAGTTACTACATAAATTAAAATTTTATCAAATATAGTACATTAGTTCCAATAAATGCTTCACCAATGAATTTTGTGGAACCCTTTATTTAACTAAATCAGATGGGGCAAATATAATTACTAGTGGCATTTAAGTCATTGAATAATCTATATACACTGAGCATTACTATGAAAATCCTTATATTGGTAATTTATAAATTCTTGGGCCAAACAATTTAGTGAACACTTAAAATGTTTCTTCTGTTGTTTACAACAACAAAAACTTTTTTTTGAGATTTTAAACATTAATTGAAATTATTTTTAAATTAATTACAAGAAAAAGACATTAAGAGCTAATTGTTTATTTATTTATTTAATGTCTCATTTACTATGACAGCATGAATCCCATGTAATTTCTCTTATTACTATTCAGAAATATATAAAATCTTCCTACTTTATTAATAGAGTTAGCTTTTGTAATTACATATGTTTAAATTAAGATTCAGTTCAACACTTTAAGAAATAAAAATTACACACAAAGTTGTCCTATGAATTATTACATGAAAAGAGAGAATAAAAAAAAAACAATTTAAATATACAACTTTTTATCCCTTATATAATTTTTTTTTTTTTTTCTATTCAACATAATGCAATGGAAAAATACTGTCACTTGAATATTACTGCAGCCCCCTCTTCCAACCAAAAAAAATCTTTCCAAGTATATACTTAAATTTTAACTTACGGCATGAGTGATTTTTCAGGATATTTCAGTTCTCCTATAACTACTTGCTGGAACTGTGTGAGAGCATAACGCTTGTAGTCTAACAGACGCAAAGTTATAAAATCATATTTTAATGATATCAAGCTTTTTTCAGTTAGAAACAAAAGCCTTTCTTTTTCTGTATCCCAATGATCTATTCTGGAAAATAAAATATCACAGGTTTGCAGATTACAATACATATAGAGAGAGATAGGTACTAGATAGATATACATACCATATTTACACACAATAACATTTAAACATGAAATCAAAAATTTTAACCGAGATTTTTAAAACGAGAAACATTTACTTGCACGTGATTTTGAAATATAAGCTTCAAATAATGAAATTTAAAATTGCAGTGCACAAGTTGGCAACACTCCCAATTTATAAATACATTATAAAGTCCGTAATCCTGACGTCCATTATCCAGAATGATCTATAATCTGGACCTCAAAGCCACAAACTTTTTATTTTTTTTGTATGCTTTACGCATGCACGTTTAATGTATAATGGACGGTATAAGCTAGGCTAAAATTATGTTTACTGATTCTAAGGCATTTCAGTTAATGTTGCAGATTGTGCCTGTTCCTTAATCTTCTAATTGGATCCGGCTTATTATTTTTTTGCAGGCTGTTAGAACAATTTTATAAACATTAAGCTTGAAGTTTTCAATTCTGGAGCTGCCAAAGGATCTACAAAGCGAAAGCATGTTTCAATGTCCATCAAACAAGTTAGAGTTATTTTGAAAATGCTTGCCAACAAAAACTCTTGTGTCTGGAAAAAAAAAGAGAGAGAGAGAGAATGCTGCTCACAAGGTCAATAAATCTCATGGGACAATAAAGTTGTGTTGTTCTAATGCAGCAGGAAACCACAAACTGAAACTGGTTATCACTGAAGAGGCAAGAAAACCAAGGTCTTTTAAAAGCACGGTAGCAACCAATCTACCAGAAAAAGAGAAGGACCTTTGGTGACAGACTTCATAGAATCACAGGGCCTTTCTGCTAGTTTTAGACAGCATGCTGTGCCATCCCATCCAAATGAATTGACATTAAAATCAAGACAAGGATAATTTTTTGTAAAGTACTTGCTGGCTAATGTGATAGCCCTAATATAGGCTATGGACCACAGTGTTACTGCATCGGTTCAATGAAAATACCGTTCTGCCATGTTATATAAATTGATTGACGAAAACCATAAAAAAATTTTAGTTTTGGGTGCTATCTACAAGAGTGTTGCCGCATGCGAGAAAGTAAAATCCTCAATGCTAATTAAATCTTGGAGAAAAATTCTTCTGGACTTGGAAAAACATGAAAGTTTTTTAGGTTTGACAGAGGTGTCACCAGCTTATTTAACTCAGATGGCAAACAGTGTATACAAATATGTGGACAAAATAACATTTCTGAAGAGTGTGGCAGCAACTCGCCCTCATTCAAAACTCACACAGATGAGAAAATTGTTAGTCATGTAAGGGGGGAAAGAAGTATCAAGTGACAGCAGAAGACAGTGGAGACAGGGACCAAACTGCAATGATAACATCATACATGGGACCACACTTTATCACGTCGAATGCATTCTGGACTACTTGGAAGGCCAAGAAGATAGATAGCCTGTTGACTGATAAAATGACATTAACAAAAGCCAACTCAGCCACGAAACAGAAAGTTCTGACATTTTTACATGAACTGTCAGAGTGATAAACTGATTTGAAACTATAAAACCATATTTTCTAAATATACTGTATATGTAAATTGCCTTGTAGCATTTTTCATTTCATATATTACAGTTATTTATCTTCATATTTTTTTTTAAAACTGTCTTTGCATTAAATGTGATTTCGAGTTAACCGTGCATATCTTCACCTATTTTACTATCCCAGTAAATTGTTGACTGTATTACCTTTATCTGAATGTGCTTTAAATCCTATTTACATTAAATACTTTTCAAATTAAAATAATTTGATAGTTAAAAAAAATGTAGCTATTTCAAAAAATAGCTAAATTTGTAAAGGAGGCATTATTTTTTAAAAGAATATTTTACAACTTTCTTTTTTAAATTTTTATGTTTTTTACATAATTATTTTGTTTGCAACTATAATTCAGCAAAGTGCACAAATACTAGTAAAACTTTAAAGGCCTGTTTCATTTCTTTATTTTATTATAACTAAATAATGATATTACAATGTAAACTATCCTACCTTACTGCTTAATTCCAAGAAAATTAATTTCATCAGTTACAGATTAAACAAAGAAAAAAAATACTGTCGGTAAACACTTTTTAAAAATATTTATCAAAATTAAGATTATATAAAACAATTACGTTTTATTAAGCTATCATGGCAGATGTTAACATTATGATTTACACATACAGAAATTCAATTATCTTTCTACTAAAAGCACAATAGTTAAATGCCTGCAAATAGTTTTCTAAATTTACAAAGTGAATTACAAAACTTTATATATGTCTAAAATTTTATTTTCAATAATTATGAATATTATATTAAAATAGTTACTCTGTTAGTAACCAAACGCCTCGGAGTTCTCCATCGAGATGATCCATTAGTACAGGTTGGCATTGTTCTGCAGCCTTTTGAAGTGCTCCTTCCTGGGGGGTAAAGCAAAAGCAATCAAAACAATGTTGTGTTAAAACACGTTTTTTAAAAAAATGGTTTACTCTGAACATCTTTAACACTTGCCTACAAATACCGAGGGTGTTTACACATTTTTGTAATGATTTTTATTTTCTCCGTGAATTTAAATATCAATTTTAAAATACAAATGTGACTGGCATCAAGTTGGAATAAGGTCTAATTATTGTCTGCAGTGTTAAAAATATTCCTTACTTTAAAATGTCGCCGAAAAATAAACAATGGGTCGAAAGCTATATTTTTGCATTGTCTGAAAAGAAATACTCGTATTCTCTAAGGATTATGTTAATTTTATTAACAGTTAAATTTTGAGTTAAACTTCCTTTCATATCGCTTCTTAATTTCAACTTACCACTTTCGACCAGAACGTAGTTTTAGAATCACGTTTGAATACTAATGAGGAAGAGCAGTATTTAACCGCGAAGTTCTACTGACTTAGTCAGAGAGAACCAGAGATTCTGGCAAGCAACGCATCTGGCTTTTTAGGCTACTTTCTCTTAAGCTATTATTACACTCAGCCGTACTTTAGGCCCTTGATAGCTTCGCAGTCAATTAGCGTTAAGGGGCAAACTCTGTTATAATTTTGATAGCTTCGGCTATATCTTTTTAGTTAAGATTAGTTTAGTTTATTTCTTAAGTTGAAGCCCGAGTGTCGGCTTTATTGTACAACTCCAAGACGGAGTTTTGTTAAACTTTAGTTAGAATAATAAAGGGTTATTTCACCCTTTTCACTTGTTGTTTTCTAACTCAAGCGATTATTCGCTTACTAGTTTTTAAGATTATTCACATTCAGCTGTAACTTAGAAGTACACAGTCGGGAATCATACAATTCAATTATTAAAAAAGGATGCGAAAAGGATGGTTTTAATATTTCTACACATAAAATAAGTGACATAATTAATATGAAAGGAAAGAAACGTCAAAGTTTACATCTGACTGGGTAAAAGGCAAAAAATGTACACCCAACAAAGATACGTACAGCTCTTATTAAATCTAAAGTCGCATCTCATCTTTTAAAGGAAAATCCAGCCCCCCTCCAAAGAGCTACTGAAAAATCTTTAAATATCTCTGTACGAAATGTGAACAAAATTATAAAATCTGATTTAAAGCTAATCATAACAAAAAAATACACAATGTTCGTTTGCCTAAAGGTGAAACACGTTTCTCGGTGTAAGATTATGTGCAGACTGCTGTATGAAAATTATTTGGCATGTGCAAAATAGAAATGTATAGTTACAATTGACGAGGCTTGCATGTACTTATCTGATTACAATAGAAAAAGATCGATTTACTACCGAAAAAGAGGAGAAAAAGGCTTAATATGTTGGTTCAGAGAAAACAAGAAAAGGCTGTTACTGGATTCTCTTATAACTGAAAAATTAAAATAAGGAAAGCAGAAAAAAATATCAAAATTAATTCGGAATACTAACAGAAATGTGTTTTGACACCCTATTTTTAAAGAAGAAATACCATCTCTTATCCAAACAATCTTCACTTTGCTAAGTTCCTTTAGGATAAGGCTCTAAGCCATACCTCTACATCTACTGCTTTATTTTTTGAAGAAATTGAGATATAAAACAGGAATTGAAGCTATTCCCTTTAAATGCATGCCACTCAAGTCCTCGGATATGTCTCTTATGAATTACTGTGCATCTGAACTTTTAAAACAAGCTCTTAATAAGCAGCATCCCAAAACATTGAATGACTGAAAGATTGTAAAGGAGGAGTGGAATAAAATCAACCTTGATGTTTCAAGAAAAGGACTTTTTATCTTGGAAATCAAGATTTAATATGATAGTTCAACAAAGTGAAAATTTAAATAACTACGTGCTCAAGCTTTGGGATTATCTGACAAAGAAATGCACTGAAACTTAAGCTACTTCTGGCAGTCAAAAATGCCTAATGAAATATAAAATAATAACAAATGTCACCTTCTTTATGAGCATGAAGACATACAAATTCACTTAAATACAAAGTCATGCCATGTGTACTTAAGTCATCCGGCGATATATTTTCTTGCATTATTTTGATGAACTCCGCGGTCTTTTAATATTTTGAATATGCACATCAGCATGACAGTCACACAACTTTGAAAATACGTCACTGCTTGCTGTTCCGTAAAAGGCAAGTTCGCAAATGTTAATCCTCCCCCCCCCCAAATACAAGAGGAAAACAGAAAAAGCAATTATACAATCCCTTACAAAACTTAACCCTGCTTACCGAAGATCAGGGTTACGTAAAACCTAAGCAAAGTTCTTATGAGTGTACAGCGAAGTCAAGTTTATTCATTATTTGTGATAAACTGTACTGTCTGGGGAAACTGTCAAAAACGGTTGGCAGCAAAATACATAAGTACCTTTTAAAATAATGAATGTCAAATAGATAAAAAAAATTTTAATTTTTTTAAATTATGCTACAAATTTCATTGAATTTCACAGGGTTGCCACTCAAAGAGGAGAATGAAATTCCCTGACTTTTCCAGGTATGTTTCGAGAAAATTCCAGTCTATCCGCGTAAATGTACGTTGGCTGTGCTAAGAGGTAAATTAATTATGGTATTACTTGTACTGTGTAGCAAATTCACTTAATTATTCAATAAATCCCAGGCGGACATTTATTCTTAATATTCTGGTACACTTTGTTTGATAATTTTGTTTACTTTTCCACTTAAAAAAACTTAATAAAAATTTAAGATATATACATTGGATAACAACTGTACGTTTTATTTAATTATCACTCATGATCATCCCCAGTTCAACACAAGGCTAATCTGGTTCTTATAAATCTCAATGCAATGCTAAAAGGTTAGATTTTAGGTTAATTTAATTTGTCTAAGGTGTATTCTTAAAAGGCACCTTAACACTTGAAAACACAAATATAATTATAATAGGAGTTGTTTTCTCCACTGAAGATTGAGATTAGAATCTACCCAATCTGGAATAAAATAAGGCTTTTTTTGCAGACATTTTGCAGCTAAACGAAAGAAAGAAATCTATTTAATGATATTTTTTTACTAAATTGAGGTATTTTATATTTATTACGCAGCATACATAAGGAAAAAATATGTGCATTAAATTTCGTGATGTCATCATACTGGTAGAATTAATTTCAGGATTATGCCAGAGAAAATTTCCTGAAATTTGGAAATATTACTTACTAATGATGAATAAATTTAGAGGGAAGAAGCAACATTAAATGATATGAATAACATAAAAATAAAGATAATTACTTAAAAATTGAATTAGAATAATCAATGATATTTTAGTGAATATAGTTAGCCTAGATGACTGATTACGATTTTTTTTTTTTTTTACTGCAAAATGACAAGGTATTTATTAAAAAGAAAAGAAACAAAAAAAAGATTTTGCGGTAAAATCCTAGTATACGATACGGCCTTCGCATGATTTTGAAAATTGTCGCCAAATCCCGCTGTACCATACATGGAGATTATTCTGACCAAAGAACGTCTATGTAAAAGCGGAGGGAAAAATTTGCCAAGGGATTTTGACGACGGAACGGCCAGACAGAATTTCCTCTTCGCGATGTTGTACAGGATATTGAGAAACACGTGTTAAGAAGAAGAAACGTTCTTTGACAAAAAAAGAAAACTACGAAAATCCGTTTTTAAATTATTGCGAAAAATCCAAGAAGAAACGTTTTATCAAAGAACGTTTTTTCTTGGATTTTTCGCAATAATTTTAAAAACGGATTTTCGTAGATTCCCCCCCTCCCCCGTCAAAATAACTAATCCATGAATTAATTTACTTGCGTCAAAAAATATTTTCTTTTCCTTTAGAGTTTGAAGACATTTTAAACGATATTCATTTTATGAACTCTTGATAACGTGAGCTTCGAACTTCGACACCGGTTTCGAGCTTTGGTGACAGATAAATCGCGCATGCACAGCTGTTTCTCGCTATGATGGAACCGAGCCACCTCTGTTGCAGAGAGGTTTTCCTTCTTTACAATACATATTTTTTAAATTCTAACCTTCATGGTACTGTATACTAGGATTAAACCCATTTTGTTTTATACGAGAACAGGTACTTTCTCTTTAGTTCATGCACTGCACATGCGATACTCGAGGTTGCGGGAAACTTGCTTTGCCTTTCTAAAAAGACAATCAAATTGGAGCTGCGAAAATTGGCTCTATGCCAGCTGCCCGAATGACACTCACGTGATACACAATTCGCCAAAAAGTTATCTCTTCCGACGTCGGCGCAAAACTCGCCTTTTTTGGCGGGATCATTGTATGAAATTCCCTGACTTTTCCAGATTTTGACTAAAACACTTAAATTCCCTGACTTTCCCCTGCATTTTTTGGTCAATTTACAAATTCCTTGACTTTTTCCGGTTTTCCCGGTAGCGTGGCAACCCTGATTTCAGCATAAAATTCAAAAAATTTAAATTGAATTTTGAAAAAATCACTTCAAACCAATATATTGTCACCTACAAAGAGTATGTGTGCAAAATTTGAGCTCAACAGCTTATTAGAAAGTAATTTAAAAATCAATGAAAACTCTTGATCTTAGTAACACACTATGAGTGAGCTAAATAAAAGCTTACAAAAACAACCCCAATTTATTATAATATTCATCCAATGAAATTTGCCTACTTAATTTTCATTTTTGATAAATCTCTTCTTAATCACTATCTTATTACAATCATCCATTTAGCCTACTCTCTTGCCAATTTCTTTTAAGAAAACTGCTAGTAACATCTTTAAATCAAATGCCTGTACCTTATCCTTGGAATGGTTCAGGCAATTGCCTATGCCTTTAGTAAATCTTATCAAATCAAAAGCCTTGCCTTGCAGACACCTTTATCTAAGGATTCATCTTGGGGGCAGTGCTATCGTTGTATAAGATGCAACCATTTTTTTAAACACAAAATTTTTAAAGAAAAAGTACATCTTATACAACGGAAAATACAGTAATTATAATGTAATAAGTAAATTTTTGCAAACTGAATTTGAATAATAAGATTCTGCTATTTGAATTTATGTCATTCTTTTTTGTCCATAAAAAATCGCCACACTGTGTCGATGTGGTTTAGTTAATATGCAAGTACCTTTATTTAATTCTTCAACTGGTAACAGCTCAAGAATTAAAGTTAGTTAATTAAATTAATTAACACTAAAGTTAGTTAATTAACTCATGAATTAAGTTCTTTCAATAATAAATTCCATTGATCCTGCTATTCAGTTCGCTTTTAAACTTTCGTCATCCAATTCTCTTCCATTCCTCAACATTTTGGTCACATGTAACATATCCAACTTCAGTATTACTGTTTACCGTAAACCTTCATCAGTTTGCCTTTCACTACACTTCGAATCATGTCATCCAGCTAAACAGAAGTTAGCTTTATTTTATTCCTTAGTTTTCTGAGCACTTCAAGCTTGCTCCTCCAAACTGGCTCTTGATTCAGAACTAAATTATTTAAAAACAGTTGCTATTGACAGGGGCTTTTCACCCAACATTATTAACCAAGCAGTTAAAAATTCTCACCTCAACACATCAAAAGGCACACTCTTGTTTTAGGAGATTATAAGAATTCTGTTATCATTCCTTTTTTTTTACATCGATTAGCTAAAAACTGCACGTGTTTGACAGAAATTTAATTCTCATGTCACTTTTTTCTCCTATCAATAGAATTTTCAGTTGAACCCCATTCCGGATATGAATTCGTGGGGTATTTGCAGGATTCCTAGCCAGTGTGTGATTTAATTTACATGGGTAAAACTAAGAGAGCCTTAAAATTTCAAGTTGAAGAACTTGAGGCATATGTTAGGAAAACGAAAACACAGAAGTTCTCTGTTGCCCAGTTCTGTTGGTCCGAAAATCACACTTTCCATTTTTCTGTAATCAAATTTATTAAAAAATTTGGTGAATTAAGATTTTGCGGAGGTGCTTCACATTCAAAAAAGTCTTTCTGTTCTAGATAACGACCCTAATTCCAATCCACCTTTACCTTCAGCGTTTAAGGAAATTATGTTTTAGTTTTCTTGTTTCATCAACAGATGGCACCAATAGCTTAACTTTTGTCCAGCCATTCTTACCTTATCACCATACCTTATCTTGTTCATTTGCACTTGGACAGCTGAGGAATATGATTCTATAGTTAAACCATTGAAACTAGTCCTGCAAAATTTAACAAAGATTACCCTAAGTTACTTTTCCTTTTTTTTCAAATCCTGCTTCTAAACAATTTTAAAAGTTGTTTTATTTTAAAAGTTGTAATATAATACAAATTTACAGCATACTCCCTGTATATATATACAGTCAAAAGTCTTTAATCCGGACTCGTCGGGACTGCGGCGATTCCGGATTATTGGTTTTTCCGGATTATAGATCATCAATTTAAATCTGGTAAGATGGCATGCAGAAATTATAAAATTAAAAATATGAAACCGTAATTTCTGAAATAAAGAGCAATTATGATCTAAAGATTACCAAAATTTACCAAAAAAGCTTAATATTTATTTGTTACTTTATTAAACATTTCTTTCAATGTAAGGTTTAAGTTGCTCGTTATGTGCTAATATTCTCTTTACTCTATAAACAGACAATTTCTGTTCAGTTCATGTTCAAGTTCCTGTAATTGCTATGTCGAGAATACCGATACTTGTCATCGAAATTTTTCGTTTCAATAACCTCTCTGTCACTTCTCACTTCGGAAGCGGTACATCAAACATGCTTTCGCTTTGTACATGCTTTGGCAGCTTAGTCGGAAACTCTTTTTTCATAATCGAAAGTTCAAAGCTACTTTTTAAAAATGCTCTACAGCCTGCAAAAATAAAAGCGGAATCCAATTAGAAATAAGGAAAAAGGCAATCTGCAACATTAACTGAAATAGATAATTAAATAATTTTAGCCTGCTTATACATCCATTTACATAAACGTGCATGCGTAACGCATATGGCATGCGTAAAGGTTATGTGCATGCTAAAGATTATAATGCATAAACGATTATGCATTTATGCATGGCAGAAAGTGTAGCTTTGTGGTCGGATTATAGATCATCCGGATAGACGTCTAGTGAAAGACTTTGATATATATATATATATATATATATATATCGTTTCACTTTTTGGTGAATTATAATACATGGCTAGACTTGGAAAAGTTTCATCTCTAAATTCACACCAATTAACACGAGAGTTTATTAATGCTTAAACATAAAAAAAAAAAAAGTTTTTTTAAATTATTATAATAATTGCTTTAAAATTGAATCCTCTCCAGCTGAAGTGCAGGAATCTATACCTTATGTGTGTATATATATATACACACACAAATATATACTTTATATATCAATATATATATATAATATATTCAGGAACAGAAGCAATGACCAGGAGCAGGAATTTGGATGGTGTAGATGCATTGATCCATAATGACTACGAAATTGAAGGCGAAGGCAGAATAAATCTTCAGTTTTACTTTCAGCAACATGTGGCGGCTACACACAAGTTGGCATATTAAATGTGGCTTTCCCAAAGGGCATTTTTGATAATTTTGTAGCAAGAAAGCAACAGCAGTCTAACTAGGCCAAAGTGTGGAAAGCAAGTATGTTATTCTTATGATGAAATCTCAAGTCAGACTGAGTTAGTTTTGGTTCTCAAACCATTTTGATTGGACATTTAATATTGCTGTAAAATTATTATTGGCTGTTTGAGGCTTAGTTCCATTTACATCATCATAACTACATAAGAGTCACATGACATAGAATAGTCTCGAAATGACGCAGTGCAGAGAGGGGTTACTATTTTTAGAATAGAGAAGGGAAATTTATGTTGCTAATTTAATAAGTCTTTATTTTTCTTACACATGCATATACTTTATAAAGAAAGAAAAGCTTATCTTTATAACTTCTTCTATAAAAGGAGGCATGAATTTAAAGTTTATAAATTAAAAAAATATTTTATGCATTATGCATAAAATACAACTATGCATAGTAGATTTCAACAAGCAAGATTTCTAATAAATTACCCAGCTAGGACACTGAAAAAGTTAATTGCTAAAATTTTATATATTATCTGTTTCTCCCCAAATTTGGACATAATTTAAAAATATACAATTTCACGTGGCAAACAGCAGTATACAAGTGTAGCAAATTTTAAGTAAATACTGCAAAACTTTTTTTTACAGTTGCTATGTATTTTTAAAGTACCAGTTATTTTTAAATGTTTTAAACTTTTTTATTTGTTTTGCAGTAATAGTATATTTTAGTTTTTATTATGTATTATTTCATTAATATTTAAAGCTTCTAGAAAAGCAAAGAAATTTTCAAAAATTACTTCAGCTTCTATGTTTAATTTAATAAAGATGTTCATAATATGCATTTACCTAAAAATGGCTAACTTATCTAAAAATTGCTAACATGCTTTACTTTCACAGTTTATAAGCTGAGTATCTTAAGAGTCCAAACCTGTAAGTTAAATACAGAGACATTTAGTGGCAATAAATGCAATCAACCACTGAACTTCTGTATGCGTAAATCCAATGCAATAGTGTTAACAGTTGTCTGTTTGTGTATGTGTTTCTCCCAATGACGCTATGCGTTCGCAACGCACTTATCGAAACAGAGCTTTATTCATAGTAATCACTATATAATTCAGGTAAAAGATTAGAACCATAACATTTATGCTATGTAATTTATTGTATAAAATTATTAACATATAGTGAAACTGCAAAAGAAAAACCACCAAATTTATTAACTGTACATAATAATAATCATAATTAAATCTTATTTTTTAAAACTATATTCATTTTTCCCTTTAACAAGACAGACTTTTTTAATTTAGTTTTTATTATTGTTATTATTATTACTCAATTTTTACATGTTTTGGCAAGATAATTGATTTTTTTGGATCATATATATAGATAGTGAACCATCGGTTAAAAAGAACCGAACTTCTGGTCCCTTGAACTTCATTATAGTGTTATAGTGGCATTCAACAGTACTTTGATTTTAGTTTCATTCTAACCACATGTGACTTTTAATTCTCCAACACCAATTATTAATTGATATCTTATATTTTTAGTACTTTTTTATAAGCATTTCATAAATTAAAAAAATTAATACTATTGAGATGAAAGAGAACAGCAGAGTACTTGTTTTTATTACTGTATATCTAAAATGCTTACTCTAACAGCAAAGAAGTCCTGAACATCACTTGAATACAAAGTTCTTATTGATGACGATTTACGATGCGTGCCATCAACTGCAGTATCAGTTCCAAAGTTGCCATTTACATCATCTGAAATAAAATAATAAATAAGAAGAAGCATTATTTCCACTGCCACAATGTCAATAGAAAATTAATTTTATTAATGAATGTTACCTTAACCCCTTGGCATATAAATAAAATAAGTGTCCGAAAAATACCATTTAATTTGGACACTCATGTGCAAGCTTAGAAACAAAACGTTCTATTTTCAAATTTATATTGCTATAAAACAATAATAATATACTTTTTAACAATTTAATATAACAATAATAATATACGCAGTGTTTGCCAAAGACAGTTCTTGACATCTTGGAGACATCAAAGTCTACGTGTGGTAATTTTTTTTTTTAATGAGGTTATGGCAAAGCCTCGATGGCTATCTGCCTAATGGGAGGGATACCTTTGTGGAGGTCTTTTAAAGGGAAATTGGCTCATATACACATTACACAAGGGGGAAAACCACGAAAATGCCCCTGCAGCCAACCCATTTGCTAGATTTAAACCTCGGACCAAAATACCAGTGTTCAGCAATTTTACCGCTCAGCCGCTGGTGGGCTTCAAAGTCTACAATGACTTTTTAGGAAAAAAAAAAAAAAAAAAACAGAAGTCCTCTGTTGCCCAGCACTGTTGGTCAGAGAATCATGCTTTCCATTTTTCTCCAGCCAAAATTACTAAAAAAACATCTTCCTTTGGTGAATTAGACTTTCTGGGGGTGTTTGACATTCAAAAAAGGCTTTACCGCTTGGGCGTCGGTGGGCAACAAAGTCTACACGCATGTTAGGAAAAAGAAACTATAGAAGTCCTCTGTTGCCCATGGCACATGAAATCGATGAAGTCTCCTGGACGTCACTGTATGTCAAGGTGCTAGTACAGTACAAAGTCCGTAATCCGGACTTCGGCAATTCAAAATTAAGGGTTTTTCCGGATTATAGATCATCATTTTAAATCTGGTAAAATGGCATGCAGAAATTATACAATAAAAAATATGAAACCGTAATTTATGAAATAAAGAGCAATTATGATATAAAGGGTATCAAAATTTACAAAAAAAAAGCTTAATATTTATTTGTTTACTTTATTAAACATTTCTTTCAATGTACACATGCGTAAAGCATACATTACGCAAAGTCGAAATTAGAAAATTGCAACCAGAAAATTATTGATTGTATTGGTGATATTTATAATGACGAGGAATTTGATTTAAAATCATACAAAAGACGGAGTACATCGAGATGTGAAATACAGTCAAAAGTTGTTATCCGGACACCCATAATCCAGACCTCAAAGCTACAAACTTTCTGTGCATGCGCTGTGATAATATGTTTTACACATGTGAGTTTAATGAATAACAGATGGTATATAAGCCTAAGCTAAAAATATCTAATCTATTTCAGTTAATTGCAGGTGCGTGTTCCTTAATCTTTGAATTGGATCCAGCTTATTATTTTTTGCAGACTGTTACAGCAATTTTATAAAAGTACGCTTCAGCTTTCGATTATGTCAAATGGAATTTCCGATGCTGGAGCTGCCAAAGAATCTGCAAAGTGAAAGCATGTTTCGATGTCCATTAAGCAAAAAGCGGAACTGCTGCAAAAAATGGATAAAGGCATGAAGAAAGTGACACAGAGGTGATTTGTTTCTCTAACCAATCTGAAATCTGGTTATCAATTTCACGTTGCTCTGCGAAAGGGGGAACGCCGCGAAGCGCAATGAACTGGAAGTTAATCTGTCAGCACTATCCTTATCTTCAGGGCAGATGTTTTTATTTTATATCACACATAAATTTCTCTGTCTTCAGTCAAACAAAATTCCTTAACAGCATCTAAAAACTTCCTAAAATTATCTGAACTAGAATCCGTATATCAGCGCCGCATATATTCATAATTCAGAAAAATAAGAGTTTAAAATATCCTCCGATGTTCGATCATGCGCATTTCCTTCCTACAAACAAGATACTTATAATGGCTACTAAAGTAAACCTTCATTTACACATTAGTCAATGCTCTTTTTCCCTTTCGTTCCAAATCTTACAGAAACTTCAAATTAAATTTACCACATTCAGCCATTTTACCGTCTAAACCAGGTATGGGCAAACTTTTTGGGCGCGGGCCAAAAATCGAAGGAAAAAAGTTTGGCTGGCCAAGATAAGTTTTTCTAAAATTCAAAAAACTATATACAGTACAAAGTCCGTAATCCGGACGTCCATTATACGGAATTAGCTATAATCTGGACCTCAAAGCCACAAACTTACGCATGCGCGCATGCACGTAAAACGTTTACATATGCCTGCTTTTGATAGTTAGTGAAGAAAGTGACAAAGAGGTTACTGAAAACGAAAAAATTTTGATTGACAAGTTAGTCGGTATTCTTGACACAGCAATTACAGGATTTGAACAGTGGAACTTGTAACTGAACAAGAAATTACGGTACTTACGTATTATCGCAACCAGGTCAAAATTCGCATAAATTGCGAAATTTGGCAACCCTATTTACGGCAACCCTACGTGTTATACGTAGTTTTGTAAAAAGAGCACGTGGAGATTCACAAAATTTTCCTGCATTTTCGTGCAAATTTTTGTAATTTATGAGAAAATAGCAGTGTACATGGATAAAGTCAAGAGTGTGCGCAATGCCATTGTGCAATTCGGGATGTTTTAAGTAAAAAATAAGTCGACCTGTACATGGTTATGGCGAATACGGTTTTCAATCAGTGCTAAAAGCAATAGCAAAAAAGATTTCCGCCGAAAAAATAATTCTGCAACTTATTCAAATTCGAAACCGGAAGGGTTTATTGCTATTTTATATTTTAAAGAAAAAATATAATATAAAAAAACTGTATTAAAAAATTATCTGTAATTAATAAACGTACATTTTCTTTCTATTCATACTTTTTTACTCAAGCTTACAAATAGCGTCAAAACTTATGAATAGCATCAACCTGGTTGCGATAATACGTAAGTACCGAAATTACATCTGCTTATAGAAGAGAGAATTAAAGAGAAAGTATTAGCACAAAAAACAAAGCAACTTAAACAACTTACATTGAAAGAAATGTTTAATAAAGTAAACAAATAAATATTAAGCTTCTTTTTTCTAAACCTTGACACCCTTTAGACCATAATTGCTCTTTATTTCATAAATCCCAGTTTCATATTTTTAATTGTATAATTTCTGCATGCCATCTTACCAGATTTAAATTGATGATCTATAATCCGGAAAAAACCCTAATCTGGAAACGCCGAAGTCCGGACAAGTCCGGATTACGGACTTTGAACTGTAGAAGTATTACAAGTAAAATGTGTTAATGAGATTAATGAAATTGCAATTTCATTTTTAAAAGTTCCTTATACAGTCAAAAGTTGTTAATCTGGACTCGTCGGGACTTCGGCGATTCCCGATTATCGATTTTTCCGGATTATATATCATCAGTTTAAATCACGTAAGATGGCATGCAGAAATTCTAAAAATAAAAATATGAAACCGTAATTTATGAAAAAATAAAGAACAATTATGATCTAAAGGGGTATCAAAATTTACAAAAAAAAAAGCTTAATATTTATTTGTTTACTTTATTAAACATTTCTTTCAATGTAAGTTGTTTACGTTGCTTCGTTTTATATGATAATACTTTCTCTTTATAAACAGACATAATTTCTTGTTCAGTTACAAAGTTCCGTTGTTCAAGTCCCGTTAATTGCTGTGCCGAGAATACCGACTAACTTGCCAATCGAAATTTTTTCATTTTCACTAACCTCTTTGTCACAGTCTTCATGTCTTTATCCATTTTTGCAGCAATTCCACTTTTTGTTTGATGAACATTGAAACATACTTTCATTTTGTACGATCCTTTGGGAGCTCCAGATTCAGAAATTCTATTTGACATAATCGATCGTACATTTTACTTTTATAGTATTGCTCTTACAGTCTGCAAAAAATAATAAGCCGGATCCAATTTGAAAATTAAGGAACAACACAATCATCAACATTAACTGAACTAGATAAATTAGATAATTTTAGCTTACACCGTCCATTATACATTAAATGCTCAGGCAAAAATGTATTCTGTGCTTGTGCACACGCATATGCGCAGTCGTAAAGGTTCTTACGTGCACGTGTAAAACGCCTTGTGCGCATGTGTCAACGCGGCGCATGCGCAGAAAGTTTTTAGCTTTGAGGTCCGGATTATGGGTGTCCGAATTAACGACTTTTGACTGTATTGAGGTTCGAAGTGAGATGTACCGATTTTAAGGAACGAGGCTGAATGCTCATTTGTCAGTCTACTTCTGAAATAATTCTTTCTAAGGTTTGTAATTGAAAACACCTGTTCACATATATAAGATGAAGCTAACATAGCACTCATTTTCTGGCGTGAGATATTAAATTTGGGAAACTTACTTTGATAATGATTTGTAAAACTCAAAATTTGGCATACTTAGAAGCATTTGCTTGAGATGATTGTTAGATTGCAAATCAATTAATTCAAGCTGCAAATATGACTTCACTGCTTCACAATTTACATTGAAAGCCATGGGAAAAATATCCAGTTCTGTTTGAACGGCACTGAAATCTGAATTCGGACTCAAAATGCAGTTTTTTTCAAGCCATCTTCATAATTCCTAAGTTTCTTTCATTTACTGAGGGTATTGAATTTAACCTCGGGGAAATAAGACAAGTCATTCTTAGCTAGATGCCGAGCAAACATATTAAGTTTTAACTTAAGATAATTAAGTTAAGATTAAGTTTTTTTTCTAAGAGGTCTAATTTACCTATATTGGATTCCCATATGTCTGCTCGAAAAAGAGATAACGCTTGTTGGCGACAATCTACAACTATAACTAACAAAGAACTTCCACTTTTTAACACTTTACTGATTGAAAGCTGTGCTTGAAATTTCCATCGATTTATGTTTTGTAGAACAAAAATAGAGATAGTAAAAAGATCATAAAAAAAGGAAGAAAAAAATTTAAACAAAGCAGAAAAGGAGATGGATATATAATATATTCTTCTTTTAATTTGCCTCGGACCGCCAAATTAAAATTCTACCCACGGGCTGGAGTTTGCCCATCCCTGGTCTAAACCATAAAGCAAGCAACGAAGTTCCTAACCAACATAAACCACAAGCCCTTACAAATCTTATCCCATCATTCAAAATTTACCGCAGTCATGCAGCCGATTATGTCATAATGGGGTTTCTATAACATTTAACTCTCAGGTTACTACAAATGAAAAAACAACTTTGCGATAATAGAAGGGATACTCTTCAATCTACTTTAACCCATGCATCAATAATTTCAAGCTACATTTTTTAATTTTTAGGTATATTGGCAGTATACCTAACCTTTTAGGTTTCTTCACGAAGAAAACTAAAAGATACATGAGCAAGGCTCTTATCTTCTGAGGTCACTTATTCGAAGATTTATCCTAGCCTTTTGAAAAATGGTATACTGAATCGACAAGCAACAAGAGGAACAATATGTGTGGGGGTTAAATGCTTGAGAAAGCAAATATTCCTGCAAAGAGGGTAGATTGTATTCAGTGGAATTGTCCAAAAGAATGCTAAGGTTTCGAGACAAAGGGGATATAATTTGGAGCAAGAATGCACTTCTAACCTGAATGACTTCATAAAATTAGGAATTAAATGTTCTGTAGTCATTTCAAGCCATGATTTTAAAGTGAAAATCAAAGGCTCTAGTAAATCACATTTACTTGAAATGCAATTTACTAAAGCCTTTATTTGAAATGCATTATTTGAAATACAGTTGATCTAATGTTTCTTTCAGTGGTAAATATGGCTCCCACGAAAAGAAACAAACACAGCATTGGTTTCAAATACTAAGCCATTCATTTTGCAAAATAAAATGGAAATTGTGCTGCAAAAAGGGTGTATGGATTTGGTGAAAGATGGAACGGATGATGATGATGATTTATTTATAGATCAGAGTAATAATGATGATGATGATGAAATGGAATTCGATGATGTGGCTAAAAATATAACAGAACATGAAGATGACGAACTTTTCATGTTATCCGATAATGAAAATTTTTAAGTTCAGAAGGTATGTTATTTCTTTTAAATATACAGCATTTAGGTACATACAGAAATCTTTTTTTTTTTTTTTTTTAAATGCTCATTCTTTATTTTTAAATCTATCATTTTTATACTTGGTGTATAACGTGCACCCATAAATTTTGATCTTATTTTTAGTATTGAAAGTGCACGTTATACGCCTAAATATACGGTATGTGTTTTAAAATTTAATATCAGTGTTCTAAACAATTTGAAAGTTTTCCTAGGAAACAGCATTTAGGTAAATCCATTTTTTACAAGTTGTAAATACTTGATTTGAAAAGCACTGGTTTTATTAAGCTCTTCTCAAATAAGCTTAATTCAGCAGTTTGAAAATGGTGTATAAGTGGATCTTGAAAACATGGAAATGAATTTCATTTGGTGTTAATCGAGTGTTTTCAAGATCCACTTTCAAGATCACCATTTTCAAACTGAACACTACATTTCATTTCCAGACAGCCAGTTTATTTTTTACCAAAAACCTTGCATAAAACCTTTGAATTTCATCTTTTGCTTCAGTTTTAAATTCCAGACCGACAAGCTTCCCTTTCACAAATTATTTTTGGTACTATTCGGTTTTGAGGGCAGTAAAAAATCGCCAAACTATTGTTGATGCCAGTGCTGCCAAAAATAATTACGTCAACCCTAATGCAAGAAAGGAAGTATAATAGTAAATAACTATCTAAGATTGATGTTTTAATTTAGATTGAAAGGTTAATTCAATATGCTATTGTATTATTATAAATTATATAAAAAAGGCTAAAACATGATGAAATGGAAGCATAAGAGTAAATAAACTATTTCAGATCATTATTATAATAAATAAAAATTGCTAAACATAACCGAATGGATGCCTGCATCGCTATTTCACTACCGAGTTATCGCTAAACATAATTATTTCGTTGGTTGTTCCAAACATAATTTTCTTTAATGATGATTCTTTTCTTTGAAAATTCTCGGTTAAAGTGTAGAATCGCCCACTTACTTGTTTGCCGCTTTTTACAAGGGTAAAAACAATTGGATTTTTGTCAATTTCTTTTACTTTTTAAGTGAAAATAGTTCAATGTGTACATAGATAAAGTCAAGGGTGTGTGCACAGTGCCATTTTTGTGCAATTCTGGGATTTTTTTTTTTTTTAAGTGAAAATAGGTCGATGTGTACATGGATACCGAGTATGTGCAATTTTTAAAAACGCATCAAGCAATGGGTGATCCTGCATTTTACTTAACATTCTATTGCATTATGGGCAATTCCCAAATTGTTAAATCTATAGGATATCAAAAAAGGATTTAAAAATTAAACTAGTATTTCAATGGCATCTTAAGAAATATAGAACTATATAAACTTACGCAATCTGAAATCACCACATATGCTAGATTTGGCACGCTGTTAAATGATTACTGTTCAATTTGGCGCTTTTGTGCATACATTTTCTCTGCAATTTTTTTACGGTCCTCAAAACGGAATAGTACCTTATTTTTCTATAATATTATAGCTCAAGATGAATTAGTTCAAATGATGGATAATTCATTTGAATTAGTTGAAATGAAAAAGACAAGGGGTGAAATTTCTCAAGTTTTATCCTCATTAAAAAAATGTTTTTAATTATTATAACTCAAAATTTATTCTTACCAATTATTAATATACATATTCAAGTTAAAATTGATATAGATTTTTATTTAAAACAATCATCAATCAAAGGCTGGACTTCGCATTATTTTAAATTTCAAACGGATACAATTTTTTTTTTTTTTTTTTGTAACATTATAGCTCCTCTTGAACAGGTTAATTCAGATGATACAAGTTTATGTGAAATTCCCCTCTAAAGTATCTCCTTATCAGAATATAACCACCTAATTTAATGGAATGAATATGCATATGCACCTGTTTCAATAAGGATGGAAATATGCATTTACCAAAAAATCAAAACTTAATCTTACCAATTAACTAGCTCTTACCTTCTAACATTCCTCAAATGGAGTTTCGGTTTCTAAATATAATATACTATTGATTTTTAAACTGAAAATAAAATCTCAACATTTAAGAAGCAATAAATTTCTATTATTAATTCCTTTAATAATACAATCAGTTTACTTAGAATATTTTTAATGAATTTCTTAATAACTGCAATATACATTTTATGTACAATTTCACTAATTTCCCATTTATAATTAAATTTATTACCAGCATACGATAATAAATAAAATTATTCCATAATATACATTAATAAAAAATTGCATTTTGCAGTACTTCTGATAAAATAAATATTGCGTTAAAATGCATGACGAACAAACTCTACTGTATTGGCTTAAATTTTATTTACAACATACGGGCGTGAGATATGAGTCATCACCTGCACTAGCAGCAACAGATTCTGGTGGTGAAGTTTCTTGCGAAAGTGATAATGTTGCTCCCCGAAATTCAGCTTCATTGCAGTCTTCAAGGCGATCAAAATCGCTGCTCGGTGTGCTAGCTGTATTAGTCTGATTGTTATCACCAATCAAACCAATATCTTTGAAATTTTTCGCTTCGGCCATCCTAAAAACCAGATATATATCTTATTTTGCATCTACGACGTCTTTTTGCCCAAGAGCAAAAAACTACGCATTTGATTCGAAAGTTTTTGTTCTCATAAATCAATAATATATATTATTTTTTGAAACTTTATCTGCCCTTTGTCGAAGTCAATCTCTAAAGTCGATTGTAATCTAGATTTCAATTCTACAACAGATGGTAAAGTTTTTAATTATTACTCTCCCTTCTTTCTCAAATAAAGAAGTCTGCTCAAGAAATGACCACCTATGAAAACCTTTGGAATCTATAAAAACCAGCTCCGAAAGCTTAACCAAAATAGTCAAAAATAGTTAGGATGTTTGAACTGACACTAACAAAGGAGACCGAAAGAATTTAAGAACGGTGGATCTAAAGAATATTTTAATAAAGAAAGAAGTACCTCAAACAGTGGAGAACTCAGATGACTGATTAACATTTTGAGACAAAGTACTCAAGAATGTCTTTCCAAGATGAGGTATACCTTCGTATAGCAGTTTCTAACGTTTTGTTTGCTTTATTTGGTTATAGCAAAACATACGAAGGCTGTTTGCCTAGGTGGAGGAATGTATTGCGTGTCTTTTAAATAAAACAGTATATACTCCAGTTTGCTTTAAATCCATGAATATAAGGGCTCATTAAATGTCAGTGATTTTCTTGATGCTGAATTATATTCCGGATAGCTGCTAGGAAAAAACTAACGTTTTCTTTAATGAATCATTCACCACGCAGAAATATTCTTAGACATGACTTAGCTTTTCTTAGTTTTATAGTGACATAATATTAGTTACATTTTTAATTTTAAAGGATAATAATTTAAAACAACAATATTCGATTACAGCCGATTCAAACAGCCGATTTCCCAAAATTGAGTTCAAGTTAAAATTCTAAATAAAAATGGTATAGTTCGACCGTCTGAAGCGCAACCCTGGTTGGCATTCTGCAAAAACTCATAGACTCGTCCAAAAGGGACAGCATCAAATTCTATCAAGAGAAACCGAGTGAGCGACAAAGCTCTCCCAAACAGAACTATGGATTATAGAAAGGCAGTATTACTTGCTGCGATGTGAAAGGTATTTTCTTCTCCGGAAAGATCTTGGCTGAAGGGAAAGAAAATCCCCATCCTTCCACCCTATTTTGATAATAATTCTATTCGAATGGCGCATGCGTGTTTGCGCTCATGGTCGCGGATGAGGCGATCGAACTATAGTTCTATGGCACGGAGTATAAAGACATTATACTATAAAGGCATTATTCATTATACTCCATGTCTGGTTATCGTCTGCTTTCTCTCTGTCGCCAAAAAGACTCGAATCAATAGCTGTTTTCTTGTTCTCCTTTTCCTTTTACTGGAGTAGTTGCCAACAGATGCTTTCCTGGTGGAGTTTTTAAGGGAGGGATATCTGCCTGAGAGAAGGGAAGGAGTATTGTTCGGAGAACAGCCTTGGTGGCGACTGTTTATTATGCCACGGAAGTAAATACTGGAATAGCAGCTATGTGAGAAATTTTTCATGTGAGGAATAGCAGCTAGGAAGAGGAAAATATATGGGGAAAATCGGGAGAATTAAGATGCGTTTTTATTTGATAACTGCCTTCGTGGAGGACTTCTAATGAAAACTGGCTTATATTCACTTTAGTAATGGGAATAACATGAAACCTATATTTTTTTTATGTTAGCTAACCAATTGTCATGAATATATCTTAACTTTAACTTCTAATCGCAGTTCTCATCATCATGCAAATTTAGTTTGCAGAGCAAGTCGAGAGTTTAATGCTTTAGAGCAGCAGTTCTCAACCTTTTGACTAACGCGTACTATCTAAACAAAAATTGAAAACCTTTAGTACCACCACTACAAAGCATTACTACCACCACCACTCTTGAACAAAGCTCAGATGGCATAAATGTTATTATAAATGTTAAAAATTAGGAGTGTTAGAGAAAAAAACTCAATCAGGACGTTAGGGTTTTAATTTTTGAATTTAATTTTTAAAGATACTTTGCTTCTTTGCGTACCACCGGTTGAGAACCCCTGATCTAGAGCAAGAGCTTTTGGCAGCATCGCCTGCTGTTTACGTTCTATCGCGCAGCTCTGCTGGTGATTAATTCGGGTTTACCTTTTTCGATAGCCGATGTTAAAAGAGGCCAATTGGAAACATTGAGCTAGCTTAAGTAGACTAATTTTTTATTAGTGTCCGACTATGTTACCTTCCATTTGAAATTTCTACTTATATTACTTTAAAACTTGTTAGTGAAAGAGTTTTGTTTGTAAGCAAAAGTGATCTCTGCTTAATTTGAAGAGTTAATAATAAAAGGGTTATTTTAACATTTATTGAAGTTTGGTATAATATTTACAAACGGAGTGAGCAACATTTGTCAATCTATTAGATCTAGTGGATTCTGACAGGTATTTGCATTACGTCTGAGAAAACTATGAAAACTGCATGAAATATTTGAACACTCAAAAAATTAATGCACTTTTTTACGCTTAAGTACATAAATATATTTAAAAATCTGACGAACTTCACAGTTAGAATAAAAATCACATATGAAAATACTGAAAGCAGAAATATTATCTTTTCAATTATACAACAGTCTTGTACAGTCCATCAAAATACCGGAACCCATCCAGAAAACACAAATATCGCTTAATGGCAAGGGGAAAAGCTCAACATCATCGTCGTCATTATTAAGAGAGCAAAGATAAACCAGAACTGGTTGAAGAGCAAATTGAAAGAATCGAGGGAAAAAGTTATATCCTTCTATTGGACTCAAAATATTTACCTTTCTTGTCCATGCTTGGTAAGCAAGGGTGTTGAACATCTAACATTTCATTACATCACATTGAAGAAGCATTTTATTAATCCAGTGAATGCAACTTAAAGCACCCTTCAACAGTTTCTATTTTTCCTCTTCTCCGTCAACTATATAATATGCTGCAAAGCCATATTATATTCCTTGAGGTAAATCGAACAAAAAATAAAAAAGTCATATTACTACTCGCTAGCGAAAGGATGGGTGGTTCATTTAACGTGAAGTCCGGCAGCAAAGGTTCTTTACTACACAAGAATTCCATGCTGGAGAAAAGACACAGGTTTCGTTGTTGATTATGTGATAATGTGGACCTAGACCCATCAGTAAGATTGCAAGATTTTCTAACATTTGAAAATAGTACAGCTTTGACAGACACAAATTATTTTTTGAAAAAGAGCAGCAAGATCAGACATTTGCTCGGTTAAAAATTTAAAAAAAAAAAAAAAAATCTGAAAGGTTTCAGATTTTAAATTACGTCCAAAGGGGCATTTCTTTAACGTTTTGTGCGTTACCTTTATTTATTAAATATCATGTTCTTCGCACTTAAACCATAAAATCCAGTTCAATAGCAATGTCGCAAAATAATTTTTAAAAAATGAGCATATCTTTAGAATTTCGGATACACAGTTCCACGCGCTGGAGTTAAAAAGGTTCCCCCCCCCCAGTTTGCCAAAAAAAGTTGGAAACCCTTCAGTTTGTTAATCAAAAATTCGTTAACATGTTAGAAAATATGAAATCAATAATAAAACAAATTCCAAACTTGAAATTTGGTCTTCCACATGCCCATATTCGTAGGAGGATTACGTCATTCAAAATTCGATGGCTCTATGTACCGTTGTTTTACCACAATACGAGAAATATATATATATTTATGTCGATTCTTCATTATTTAATTTCTTCAAATATAATGCAGGACTCTAACATTTGGTGACAAAACAGTTTGAAAACTGAGACGGACATTTATAGCGATTCAACGCAAAACAAAAACAATAGTCCTTCAGGAACAAAGCCCCTTTGGACTAATGATTTCCTCTTTTAATAACAAATAATTTTAAACTTTGCCTTTTAACATCCATCTTCTGCATGTATTAATATATTTATTTGGAGTCTAGGTTTACAAGTTAAGGCACAGCTTATAATAACAATTATAATTTTGAACAGCATCCTGGAAAGTATTATTCAATTCAATTAGTAATATTTTTGCTGAAAGGACCTCTTGGGATAAAGCAATGTTTAAAAGTTGTTATACCTTTAACCTTTAGTGTAAAAATTGCTTGCACAAATAAACTTGAAATTAATATTTTCGGGCATCACTGCATTTGTACAGTCCATGTATATTCTAAAGCAATTTAATTTTTCCATTCTATATTTTTAGTTTTAAAAAATTTTCAACTATATATGTCTTCTCTTATATATTTTTCAAAAGGACAAAAAAAATAACAAATCTTTACAAAAATCAGTGATTTCTTCACAAATGTATCTGACAGAAACTTACAACTTTTTAAATAATTTTTCAGTTGTTTTATCCAACTGAATCATATATTTTAGATTTTAAAGTAATAAATTGCTCAAATTGGTTGTTGCTAATTTCAGAAAGTCAATTAACGAAAGTATCATTTGACAAAGAAATATTCCAAATTTCATTGCCGTATTTACTTTTTGGAATTATTTCCATTTTCATAGCAGAAGGTAATACAAGTTCTTTTTCAATGGTGTATGGCTTTTTATTTTTAGAACTCAAATATCAAATTTCATGACGGGAAAAAATATTCCTAACAATCATAAGTTTTCCAAAATATTGTTTTACTTTATTTTGGAAAGTTTTAACTACTTTTCACGAATGAGTCATATGAAAGATTGCTTGTTTCAAGATTAATTTTGATGGTTACATATTCTTCGTAACCAAAATGTTATTGCAAATTAAATAAAAAGGTTATTCAAAGAATTTGATTATTTTTTTTAGAATCAGGTTCTGAAAATTGATCTAAATTTTAAAATGGAGTCCTCCACGTAGTGATTGTTTGTATGTTAATTTCTGAAGATACTAAAAATGGCATCAAAAGAAATCATATAAACACAATTTAGCAACAAAACAACAACTAGGAGTTTGTAATATCAACTTTGTCATATTCAATTTATAACTGTTTAATTTTGAATTTCTCTGATTTATATAAAATTTAATTATTAATAATTATGAATATAATTCTGACTTTTAAATCCATTTTAAAATGCAGCCTGATCAGAATGCAACACGAAAATGGTTCAAAGACCACATATAGCACAGTTTTTGGCTTCTTTCAAAGTATAATGTTTATTTTTAACAAATTGTTATTGTGAAATGTATTTCACTTTGAAATAATACTGAATAAAGTTAAAAGCAATTTTAGGTATATCACATTTTGAAAAACTGGGATTTTTTTTTTTTTTCAAACTACATTTAATGTGGCAATTATCTTCACAATTATAATCGAAGTAAGACAACTAAAAAGTACAGATTTACAGAAAAGCAACATTTTTCATTCGAATTCCCTTCCTCTTTTTAGCGCAAGATCCCCCCCCCCATACACAGTTTTCCTTAAAATGTCCTCAATTCATACCAGACAGGCTCATATACTTTGCATAAACTATTTTACCTCTAATAATTAAGTTTTAATTATTACAATACTCAATACAAATAGAAAATTTTAATTAGCAACACTATGTTGAAATGAAATAAAAAATTGTTTTATAGGAAAATATTAAAATTATACAATTTTTTAAGAAAATATGATACACTCTTAATATTATTGATTAAAAATAAAAACAGAAAAAAGTTTCAAATACTTGACACATGAAAATGAAAAAACAGATATATGTATGCTTTTATGAAATACAGCCTTTTTATTATACAAAAAAGTACAATCACGTATGACATGTTACACTGTAGTTACAAATGATTAATAATTTTTTAACATTCAGCAGTATAATCTAAAACTGTTTAACAGAACAGTTTCCCATCCCCATTTAATGCAATTTTTTAACATACATGCGCAGCCAAGTAATGCTTGCATTCATACAAAGTTTCATATCATATTTTTCTAAAAAATCTCAGAGAAAATAATGCATTTTACTACATATTCTCAGATATCAAACGTTTAGTTTCCAACATTTAGAATTAATTCAATAATTACATTTATCTAATTTCCAATAAGCATCATAATTATCATTATTTGACTGCTCCCACAGCATAAATTAAAATATGCTTTATAGGGCCCTAAATACTAAGATCTACAATGCAAATCTAAAAACGTAAAATTTAGGCTTAAAAAATATGAATGTACGAGACAGTATATCACTTGAATTATTTATTCTTATTCCTGGCTTTAGTCACTACTGAAATTTGTTACATTCAATCTGAAGGAAGTTTCAAGAATATGTAAAAAGTTCCACTTAATTTAATTGTGCAGGGGTGTGGATAAAATAAATTTATTATTACAATAAAATATGAGTTATGGCTTAAGTTTTTATGGTACCAAATTCACTTTTGATACAATGTATGCAAATTTACAAATAATGTTCCACTGACTCATTTTTTACATTATATAAATATGATATTGTAAGCATATATCTAAATCTTTCATAATGGTCAAGAATCTACAAAAATCAGCATATAATGAATTGATATGAATGAATTTTGCATTGAACTTTTAAAGTACCATTGCAAGTATATTCAGTAAATGAAAATAGTGTACAACAGAAGTATGTAATTTTATTATATATTATACATTAGTGTAAACTGACGAATTAATTATTACAAAATAGAAAATTCCAGTAATGTTTTTTAATTCATCTATCATTTACAACCAGATAAAATTTTTGAGGTGAATGTCAGTGAATATAAAAATATCAGATAATCTACAAAAAGTAACACATTCATTCTGATCACTTATTTTGGGCTTAAAATCTGGAAGATGGGGGAATTTTCTGACAAGTTGCAATCATTTTAAATAGTCTATAAGCTTAAATGCAGTTATAAAAGGTTCAACTTCAATAAATTAACTTACACAAGAGCACAAAAAAGTTATAAATTAAGACATTTACACACTATAAACTGAAAATAAATATATATAATGCTGACAAAACTTCAACAGATGTTTTGTTGTATGAAAATGTGCACCAGGAAAATGCATTTCACAAACACTTGAATGGGAACACTTTAACAACGAATTTCACTCCACTGATATTTCACTTATCATACCACAGTGATAACCTTTATGCAAATAAATAAGATAAAAAACTGCTGTTATACACTTAGAAAAATCATCCATTTAGCAAATGCCCAAAAATGCTATTTAACTTTAATTCACATGTAAGTAAGGAAACTTATCTTTCTCAACCATAAGACATGCTATAAAATAAAGTAAACCAAAATATAGATTAAGTTTTGCTGTTTCCTTTGGTACTCTCTGTAGCGTTCGATCTCTAAACATTTTTTCCAATTTAAATGCAGTTGGAAGAGTGATGAGAGGAAGGAAAAAACAAAAACTGAAATGTAAACCAAGAATTGTAAATAAAATATATGGTGTAAATAAAAGAAGAGCATACAGAATGTGAGAACCAGCATAACCAAACAATATGGCAAGTGTAACAACACCAACTCTGTGATCACTTTCCATGTCACGAGTATTGTTGCTGTGTAAAATAGCCTCTGTATTCAATGCAAGAGGCATAGCATAGAATAACGTGTAAAAATCCATATATCCAGTTTGTGCCATAAATGAAAATAGAACGCTTAGTGGACCAAATGTTACAATGATCAGAACATCACCCATAGCGATGTATTTCAATCCTATACCACCAGTATACAGGAATGAACTTGATAAACCTCCAAAATACACAAGAGCAAGGTGTTCCATTTTGGCACTTGATAACAACACAGTACCAATAAATCCAACACAGCCTAGAGTATACAATACAACTCCTAAATTCACAATTTCATCAGGAGTTAAAATCTCGTCGACAAGTGTTCGATCATCGCTTCTACGACTGTCTATTCCTTTCATATAATCAAAGTAAGTATTCACAACATTCCCAGCTGCATGAACAGACACAGCAGTTAAACAAGTTATAAGGAATATGGAAGTGTCAAATTGTCCTGTGCTTTTGTATGCAAGAGCTGCTCCAATAGCAACTGGAGTAAGTGATGCACTAAAAGACCAAGGCCTGAGAGCATGTACATATGTTGAAAAAGTAGACAATGTAGAAGAGCGAGGATTGGTGATACTTCTTACATCATTTTGATGGTTTGGAATATCATCATGTTCTTGCAGTTCTTCTGAATTCTGCTGATATTGCACTGAAGGCATGTTGATGTTAGGACCCTGAAAATATGCAATTCAATTACCAATTACAATTTAATAATATTAAAATAAATAATATATATTTTACACAAACATATAAAAGTATTCTGATGTAAATAAATAATAATTATATTCAGAACAAAAACATCATAAAAAATGAGGAACTTCCTGATTATTTTTATCTCCACAAATAGTCACCAATTAATTGATAACTTTGTAAATTGGTGAAATCATTCGTTTTGACTATCTTTATGGCTTAACAGGTATTCTTCTCATCATACATAACAAAAAAAGGAAGCATTTTATTAGAATTTTTATGAGGGAGGGAATTCTAATTGGCATATGAAACACTAACCAGCAAAATGAAAAATAGTATAAAGGCATATAAGTTCATAAAGACATGTATATTATGTGCATTTTTGGGTTAGTTATAGTCACACTTATACCCAAAATAGAGCCAAAAATGTAGAAATTCTACCTGAAAGTTGAAACGCAAGTGTCGATCATCAGAAAGTATGAATATTTTTGCAGTTACTCAACACTGGTTTAACAAAACTTCTCCAATAATTAACACTTCAAACATTAGTAAGTCTTATCAGTAACTTAACAGTAAACTATATATGTACTAGATTGATAAATAAATAACCAAAAATAATCTATTTTATAGTTTTAATATCTATTGTTTTTCAGTTGATCATCTTACTCATGCATTTTACAAATCTTTATTGAAATTGAAATAATTAAGGTAAATTTTTATTTGAATTAAATATGCTATTTGAAAAGAATTTTGGAAGAAAAAAATCAATAACATTACCATTTTTAAAAAACAGAATGTTTTGTGTATCAAAATATACTTAACTAGTTTAATTATATATTTAAAAATGTATCTTTTAGGTTTTAGCCCAATAAAATGGAATAAACTGTTTTACACTGAATTGAAGAAAAATGTTACCCGAAAGTTGTAACCATCGACCAAAAATATGACATTATCTGCATAATTAAGATCATAATAAGCAAATATTAACATTTTGAATTCAGCAATAAGGCACATATAGATTTTAATAAGGACATTTACAGAATAATAGACGTGCAAATACAAGACACTTACTACATATGCAGTTCATGTATTAAGAAAGAAATAGCAATATGAAAATCTAGTCTTACAATAGTCTTCCAGAAAAGAAATATTAAAGAACCTTACGAGATTTTTTATATTCAGTTTAAATAAGAGTATTTCATACAGGTTCAGTTGGACTTAATTCAAGAGAGTAAGTTAGTTAATGTAGAAAAATTTGATCATTTATTTCCATCCTTTACAGTGGCTTAAATTAGATTTATTTTCAATCAACACGAATTTGGGAGCTTATAACAGCCTTAAAATACATGAGATGATTATGAAGGATCATATTTCGGTATATCTCATCTGGTACACTTTTCTTTCCAATGGGTGTACATGAACCTACTGTCACAGAAAGTACCAAAGAGTTCAGGTACAGATACACCAATTAACAGTTCTGTTCTAGGATCATAAATGGGTCTGAACCAACAATGTGGATCAGTCTGTAATGAGGAATTCTTTCACACCAGACTAAGAAACCCATTCTGTAGCCAGTGACCATAAAGATACATAATATGTCTTCCAGGCTTATAGCAAATTATGATACAATACTCTGCATGCTTAAGAGACAAACAATTATTACAGTAACACAGTTTCCCTACTATTTCTAAATGTCCTTCAGCATTTTAGGAACAAATGCTAAGTTCAAGCACTGTCTTTGGCTGTCCTAGACTCACGTACAAGGTAAATTTTTCACTGAAAAAACTTCCAGAACTGAAGTCTAAAACTAATTTTATATGAGGCTTTTTAAATGCTAAGACACAACTATCTTGGTCTGAGATTATCTTCAACTGCATGAAAACTCTCTTTCACCAAAATAAAAATATTAATTTAATCAGCCACATTTTTACAGTAACATGCTTCATTATAGATAGAAACATCACAAACTATATTCTAATACTATACTGATAAAATGCATTGCAAATGCAAGTCAAAGACTTTCCCAGAATTTCATAGATCAACAAGCACATTTATTAATAAGCAAAACCCTAATATGTTTAAAACTCTGATGTGGCCAATGGATTAAACCCCTTGCAGATTCCCTGTTAACCCTTTGAAGCGCGGTTGTTGCGCTTTGAAACCACCAACTTTTGAATTTTTTTCTCCTCTTCTTTCCGAAATTTTTGAGTGAAAATAATTGATTACCGATCTATTACTTCTAAATAACACAAAATGACTGCAGAATCATACATGTTTTAGGTCTTAGTACTTCAACTCGGATGCCTTTTAAAATTCGTTTTCAACGAGACAAAATAAATTTATTTTATTAATATAAACAACTTTAAATTTCAAAAGTTATTCATTGCACATGATGATTTCTATTATAAACAATAAAAATAGCAATAATTAAACTGCATATATAAAAAAAAAAACCCTCTATATGTATGACATTTGCTTCGTGGTTTCAGGCCGCGACCACTGCACCACTAGCATTGTGACACAATGCTTTAGAGCAGTGTTTCTTAACCTTTCTAGCGAGTCGCACCCCATTGAATCTGAAAATATATCTCCGCACCCCATTGAAAAATGTGTTTTAATTTTTATAGTCTAGAAAAATACATTTTATGCAAAACTATTGTTTATTGAAAAACATTGTACATTTTATATAAATACAAAACAATATTATTTTTATTAATGACTAGTCTGTTGTTGTTTGTTCATTATTATACTGGCAAAGCGAGGTTACTTTTTTGAGAAACATACACGTAAGTCATCACTTGCATTTAAGCGATTTCTCGCTTTAGTTTTTATGAAAAAGCGATGAAAATCATATTTCGCGCAAGTAGGTGGTAGCAAAGGGTAAGAGTAACTGCAGTGCTCCGTTCGCCAACTCTGGATAACGTTGTAACTTTGAACACCAGAATTGTTGCAATTCTAATTGTTCGAATTCCATTTGAACATGTCTACTTGCTCGCATTTCAATAAGTTGATCTTCTTTCAGATAACTATCATCCATCAAATTTAAGTCAAATAGAAATGGATCCAGTATCCATCTCTGAGTTTTGGTAATATTTCTGGTAGAAAAATATCCATTGAATGATTCGCTCAATCGTCTTAAATGTATAACAATGTCGGGTATAATTGTATTCTTTTCATTTTTCCCAATAACAGAATCAAGCAAGGGAAAGTTTGCAAAATTCCCCTTTTCTACTCGACGTATCCAAATTTCTAATTTTGCGATAAATGAAGATAATTTTTCATTAGATATTATTATATTATACCAAATCCTTGCATTGATAGATTCAATTCATTTAAATGGCTAAATATGTCTGCTAAGTAGGCCAGCCTAAGCATTGCATCATTACTCTCAAAATCTTTTACTAAATAACAATTTTGACTAGTCAGTAATTGAATAATTTCCTCACGCAATTCAAAAACTCTGTTGAGCATGCGACCCTTAGATAACCATCATATTTCGGTGTGATATAGGAGCACGGTTTGATCAGCACCGATTTCTTCGCAAAATGCACGAAAAATTCGATGATTAAGCGCTCGTCCACGGATGTATTTTACTACATTTACTGCTGTAGTTAGATGTTGTTTTAAACTTTCTGCCAATGCTTTCGAAGCAAGTGCATGACGATGCAACATGCAATGCATTACTATAACTTCCGGTAATTCTCTTTTCATGTGTGAAAAAAATCCTGAATTTTTGCCTAACATTGCTGGGGCTCGATCAGTGCATATTGAGCCAATCATATTCATTGGTAATTGATATTTAGCAAAAAAAATCTTTGAAGCAATTGAAAACATCAATTCCTCTCGTATTCACCTCCAGTGGCTCAAAAAATAGAAATCTTCTATCACGTCTTTTTCCTTCACATACCTGACAAATACCAAAAGTTGGCTACAATTATCAACATCAGTTGACTCATCCAGTTGCATGCTTATTTTTAGTGGACTGATTTTTATGTCTTCAATCACTTGCATTAAAATATCTTCACTGAGAACTTGTATTCGTGATCGTATAATATCATTCGATAATGGAATCTGTTGGATTTTTCAATGTGCTTCCGAATCCAAAACTGTTTTAGGAATAATTAAAGCAGAAGGTTTAATCAACTCTTCAGCGATCGTGTGAAGTTTCTTTTCTTTCTTTTTTTTTTTTTTTGCACATAAATATGCCACTTGATATGACGCTTCTGATAAAGGTTTTTGAATTGCTGGTCCGCACAATTTTAGGATAGTTCCACTGGTATCAAACCGAGCCTTCTTTGACTTCAAGCTATTCATGCTATGTCCTTTTTCCCCACCATGCAGATTGTTGAAATGCTCTAATAACTTTGATGGTTTGAGATTGCTGTTTGAAAATATCTTGGAACACAATATGTATAGCAGTCGTTGCGTGTAATCTTTTTCGGTTGTGCAGGAAAATCCATAACCGACATACTTATAGTTCCATTGTCATTTTTTTGACATAGTGGGGTTCACTATCGATTTAATTATTTAGAAATAATGTATATAATGTTCTTATGTTTGTAATATCACTGAATCCTATTCGGCTTGAACGGGCAATTAAAAATGTATTAGTCTCAAGAGGTTTCTGGACAAGTCAGAATACACAATTCACATGTCGCAGACACAAGAGTTGCCTCAACTTGACTAAACCTAACACAGGTGCAGTAGATGCAGATACAAATCTGTGAATCCTTAGATTCCATTCGAGTAGCACATATTGAACTCAACGTATGCGTAAGCTGAGATAACGTTCTCCGCTTGTATTCCCACAAAGTTTTTTTCTTTTCTCTGTCACCTAGCTGCCTGTTCGCGTTCGTTTATAGCGTTTCATGCCCTTTGGTACCGTAGTGTATACTCCCATCGGCACCGGCTCTTTCCTGTGTCTTTTGCCGATAAGTGAGCTAGGTGCTACCAATTTTTATGAGCTTCAATACTGGGGACACTA